CCGGGCAGGAGAGATACGAGACATCAGCCGGAGAGGACACCTGCGTCTCGGTCAGAAAGAGCAGAGCCGGCCTCGCCGTCTCGAGATGGTAGTGGACGGCGTGTAGGTTAGAGTGAAGTCCCCTGATATTGCAGAAATTCACGGACAGCGTGGCAGGGGTCGCCTTGGTCTTGTTGCTCCGTTTGCCCCGAGCAGTTTTAGTCTTGAGCGGAATATTGCGGCGATATTCCATTTTTAACATTTTGGCATTGTTAATGTAAGGGGTGACGTGCGTGCGGGGCGGTATTGTAAAACTAAATCTTGCACATGCATTTTGAACACGTTGCACTAGACGTCGCGACCGCGCTAAAAGTCTCGGGCCATATACAATGTCCATATAATTAAATTTCGAAAGAACAAGTGTGTCACACAATTTTACCCGAATATCCGAATTTAAAAACTCCCTTATTTGATAAAGAACCTTAAGTCTATAAAAGCAGTTTCTGCTAGTACTTAGTATGTGGTTCTCAAACTGTAGTTTTTCATCCATTAGTAAACCCAGATTGCGAATCTCATTTACAAGTTCTACGATTTCCCCTCGAATTTGGATGCAGGCCCCTCTTTCTGATAAATTTTTTATTTGATTTTTAGAACCCATAATTAGTAGTTTAGATTTAGTTCCGTTTAGTACAAGGCAGTTTGAGTCGCACCACGCGGCTATACTTTCGAGGTCTTCGTTTATTTTATTAACGACCTGAGTATCACGCGGATTACATGACATATAGACTTGCAAATCATCTGCGTATAAATGAAATTTACAGTGCTTAATGTTTTTTACTAAGTCGGCACTGTAAATTGAAAACAATATTGGAGCCAGGTTCGATCCTTGGGGCGCACCGGCTTTGATTTTTTTTTTGATTGCGAACGTATTAATGTTCCTCGGTCATCGCTCAGTTCTACAGTTTGTAGTCGGTTTTTAAAATAACTATCGAACCATTGTACTGCGCTGCTACTGAATCCATAGTAATGAAGCTTCTATAAGAGAAGGGAAACATTTATACAGTCAAATGCACGAGAAAAATCTAGTAATACCAGTATTGTGCCTTTTCCTTCATCTTGAGCGGTTAGTACATCGTCAGTAAGTTGGGCTAGGGCCGTCGTGGTGCTATGGTTCTTACGAAATCCCGACTGCATTTCCGGTAGAATTTTTTTTCTATCTAAATACATGTTTAGCTGTTCTGCGACAATTTTTTCAATAATTTTAGAGACACAGGGGAGAATACTTATGGGCCGAAGGTCTTTTTCAGACAATGGATTTGAGTTCTTAGGTATGGGTTTGACTAACGCATGTTGCCATAATGTCGGATAGGTTTTGGAGTTAATGGATTTATTCACCATAGCAGTAATAGTTGATAGTGTTTTCGGAAGGGTCATATGGATCATATCGAGAGAAATCCCATCAATGCCTATGGCTTTAGATTTTAAAATTTTAACGAATTTTAGTACCTCTAGTTCATCTACCTCCTTTATCTCAAATGTGTCATTAACGCAGCAGTGGAACTCAAAGTACGTTAAATATGACAACGAGACGTTTCTATTTCCAGGCACGTTTAAAAAATAGTCGTTTATTTTATTTGGGTCATTAAGCAAGTCTATCGGGATATTGTGTTTTGGTTTTATCTTAACATTCGACTTTATATGTTTCCACATTGAAATAGGATTATTTATATTACGATTAACATAAAAATTATAGTAGGCTTGTTTTTCTCTATATATTGCTTTATTAACGCAGCTTTTTAGATCTTTATAGTATTTAATATGTATGTCGTTTTTACTTTTTCTCATTTTAATGTATGCGTCATCTCATTTTTTCATCATCAATTTTATATTAAAGGTTAGCCACGGGAATTTCTGATGTTTAATAATTTTTTTTCTAAGAGGCGCGTGAACTTTAAATAGAGTAAGTATGGCTATGTTAAATAGCACTACCTGATTATTTACATCCGCGATACTCTGAATTTCTTTCCAATTTATTGATGTAAGGTCCTTATGAAAGTCTCCCTCGTCTATGTCAGAAATTCTCCTACTCATTATTGTTACTGGTGCCGGCTTTTTTTACTCATATCAATTTGACATGTAATAAAAGCATGACTACTTAATTCACGTATAAGTTCTACATTAACTGCGTTTACATTTATGTCGGTACATATTACGTCAATTAAAGTCTCGCTATATTCCGTAAAGTGGGTTGGCTTAGTTACATGCTGTTTCAATTTGAAGCAAGTTAGAAAATTATTTAGCTTTATAGTGGTATTATGCGTCATATTTAACATATTAATATTAAAATCACCGAGAAGCAGTAAGTTTTGGCTCCATGAAAATGTCCCCATAGTAACGGTAAGCGCGTCTATGAATGTATCGACATTCAGCCACGGCGGTCTATACGCGGTACCGATAACGAGTTGCTTTCCGCCGCTAGAGGTCGAGATCCACATTTGTTCTACTAGCGGGGCGGGGGGGCAGCTCGCGGACGCCGACGCCTCGCTTCACATAGAAGCCGACGCCGCCGCCGCGCGAGCGCACGTCGGGCGGACGTGGCGCGTGCCGCAGCCGGTAGCCGGGCACCGCGGCCGCGCGACCCTCTTCGCCCTCCCGCAGCCACGTCTCATTGATGGCCATGATATCGACACTATGCCGTTGCATTGCGACAATAAATTCATCGTGCCGCGTTCCAAGGGACCCTGCATTTAAAAGACCAACTTTTACGTTACTTTTAGAAGCCATAAATGAATTTTAGATATACATATTTAGTTGACATAATAGGTTCCGACGCAAAATTTAATTTTAGTTTGCTTCTTGTACAGACAAAATTAATTTTATGTGATTTGATAGAATAAATAATATTTATGGGGATATCACAAATTTTTAAATAGTTATCCATTGAGTAAATTTTCTTGTACCTTAATGTACTCGTATAGTAATTATTGTATGTATGTATTGCAGAACTTAAAGACAAAACGCTAGTGAGTCTTTTCAATACATTGATGTTAGAAATTTGTGCCGGAACTAACCAGGATATATTATTATTCCACATACGAGTATAGACATAGTATATTTCATTTGACAGAAATAGAATCCAAAAATAGTTCTTAAATAAAAATACAAACACAATTATTAACGACTTACATAAAAATGAGCAATAGCAGAACAAGATAATATTTAAAAAAAATTCAGATAATTATAACTTTTATATTTTTTTTTCATTGCTTCCGATAGCCCCAACTGAATTTGTTCCAAAAACCCTGTCGAGATCTACTTCACTTTTTATGCGATAAGACGTTGTTCCGTGTTCTCGACGAGTATAAATTTTTCACTCTTTCGACCATACGTAGCGCCAATCAAATCGCCGAGCGAATTCCTTAGTTCTAAAAAAATACATTGCGGTTCAATTTAGTAAGCCGTTCGTTTATATAGAAGGCTCGTGTATTTTCGGAGCGGAGACCTAGACCTTCGGTAGTGAAGGAGCGACGCACGCGCGCGGCCCGCAGCAGAGTGTCCCGCATGTGCCTGCGCGCCAGCCGCACGACTATGGGACGGGGCTTCGCTAGCCTACTTTGCTCGTCGCGCATGAGACCGACTCGCACACAACTCACTATATCGCGCTCTTCTAGGGTTACGCCCAGCTTAGTAGCGCACGCAGTCACAATGTGTAGAACATTTTCTGCGCCCTCTTCTGGAATGCCTGCGACTTCGATATCATTGTACAGCAGCTCTTGGTCTCGATCATTTAAATCTGATCTTAAGTCCGCAATAATCGTCTCGAGATCCTGAATTTTGCCGCAGACATTTTTGGACTCAATTAGGGTTTGTTGTTCTTCAAGACGGATGTATTTGTTTTCTAATGTATCTAGGCGTTCTTCACACGATTTTATGGAATTACGCAAATCAAACATCTCCTGTCGGAAAGATCTAAATTCTTCCCTGGTTTCTCGCAGTTCTTCTCTAAATTTACGTAGTTCAAGAGCTAGCTCCGACTCTTTGAGACCTTGCGCCACAGGGCTTTGGGGTTTCTCTTCGCCTTGCTTGATAATATTCTCGGAATTAAGTCCTCGCACAGGCGTATTCTGATCTGACTTTCGGGGCGTCCGTATTTTACAGTCCGGACACAACCAAGTAGGTTGGACCTGCACACCTTCAGGAACTTTGACGCAGGCCCTGTGTGATTTTCTATCGCATTTAGGATACGTAACGCCCTCTGCCGCCGCCATAAACTTACCGCACGCACTGCACTTCATCGCGTTAGTTTAAGTTAATTGCAATGTAATGATGCAGATGATTATCACTAGGTGTCGCCGACTATATATTGTAATTGACACTTTGTACTTCGAGGCTGAATAGACGAAGTACATTAAAGTTATTAATAAAGGTACCTCTTATATTTCACTTTTAGATGTTTATTTCAATTTTCTTTCACCACAATCCCTAAAGCACACGCAAATGATTAATTTATTAACATATGCACCAGTTTTTAAAGTCCAGAAAAAATGTTTTAAAACATCGATATCACAACTTTTAATTTTTATTTCGCGACAAGCTTTGCGTCCTTCTAGTAGCACTGACATCCGCAACGTCACTCCACTTTTACTTATTGCCTCAGCAAAAACATTCTGCACTTCAAGAGCTTGCAAATTCTCCACATCGAAGATAGTGGGTCTTGCTCTGCAAGCCCTCCGCGGTGGACGCAATCGGAGTTTGAGTCTAGATACAACTAGTCGATGATCGGTCCAACAGTTAGCTCCACGCATGACCCAAGTCACTTTAACTTGGGAGATATCTTTATGTCGAACGATCGCGTAGTCTATCAAATGCCAATGTTTCGAACTCTGATGCATCGAGGTAGTTTTGTGCTTAGCTGGGAGAAGAAAAATAGTGTTTGTTATTGTCAATTCAAACTGAGCACAGGGACTAAGCAGCAATTGTCCATCAATGTTCACGACGCCATGTCTACCTAGTACCTTTGGTCAAGCATCACAGTCACGGCCAATGTGCGCGTTGAAGTCTCCGAGCAGTAAGATTTGCTGTGTTGGATGTATTTTTGTAAGCACATTGGTAACTTCTTCATAAAATGCACCTTTAATCTCGTCATCATTGTCCATTGTTGGCGCATAAACGCTGATCAAATTCAAGTATCTTGAATTTGTCAAATGAAGACGCAAAGATATGATATGGTCCGAGATGTATTTGTGGACTCTCTTCCAGTCTATTAGCAATCTGCATTCAGATTGCAAATCCAACACCAGAGCGTCTAGGTTCTGTAGCTGGTGTGCCTTTCCAGAAGAACTTATAACCGCCACCGTGTTCATCGAGCTCGCCTTCATCTGCCAAGTGAGTTTCACAAAGCGTAGCTAAATCTATCTTATACCGTCCCATTTCACAGATTATGGTCATTATCGAGTAGGATGTGCACATTCCACGCACTAAATATCATTTTAGATGATGCACTGTTTCTTCGATCACGATGTATGGGATGCGTAGGCGGCCCTGGTTACTACCTCCAATATATGGGTGGGATAAGCAATTTTTAGAGCACCTTTTCTAGCTCCTTCCCCGGCTGAGCAGTGGAAGCAGTGCTCCCCTAAATAGGGGTGCTTCGACTCTCGGGGTGCTGCCGAATCCACGCTGTCATCCTAGATTCAGCGTAGAAATGACCATCATCACCCAAGCCGCCTGTGTGCAGACTTCAGACAAAGCCAGGAAGCATCATGACCCGACCTCTCTACCTTAGTCCATCGCCACAGGACTTATGATGTCTCGGAATTCTTATTCTAAAACAGTCATTGGCTCAGGATATATTTATGTGCATAAGTGCTCGCACATACGCAGGTGCACACACTCATCTTCCCACTTCTTAACCCAATGGAGTGGAAACCACTACGATTGGAGAAGAGTTCAGATGATGTGTTTGGCCGACGGTCACTATAGCTCTCTACCGTCGCCCTAGGCCATACACCATTGACTTGCTGCCACACCGAGTCCGCCATAACCCACTGCATATCTGCACGGGCTGCCTTCCTCGCCGCGATAGACTTCATGCACTAGACGGGAGACTTCACAAAATCTGTCCTGATAGTAGCAGACCACCTTCATCCAGGTTCAGCTCGCGAGCCGACGCGGTTTACTGGGGTGTGCCGCTGTGTGTATAACAGCTACTTGGAGCTACTGGTGAGAGATTTGTAGGGATTCAAGCCATCAATTATGCTCATTCTTATAATCTTATTATAATTAATGTTAACTGAGTATTAAATATATATCAACATTTCTCTAATGTATTTTTGACACAACATCCAAGTTTGGGAGTCAGGGCTCAATGATGTTGTATGAAATTATAAGTGTCAAAAAAAATTTTAACAGTGGTAGAGCCACGCGGCAGCTTTGCTGTTGCACGTATGGGCCGGCTCAAATTATATTCTGTGAGGCCGGGGTGGTACCACGACCTCACAGAATACCGGCGTGAAGTGGAAGCTCTGCTTCCGCGTTTCGTCTGGTGAGTGCAGGTGTCCGGAGGCCCAAATCCCCCCCCCCATCAACATGGTAGCGGAATTAAATAATGATAGACTACCTCAGGAGGGTACCAGCACCCCTGGAGAATCCCTCGCTGAGCATCCACGACCATGTTTCTCCACTTCTGAGCGTGGGTGCTCAGGCTGCCCCGCGTATTCTGGGGGGGGGGGGGGGGCAAAATTCCGCTCAAGACTACAACTGACCGGGGCAAACGGAGCAACAAGACCAAGGCGACCCCTGCCACGCTGTCCGTGAATTTCTGCAATATCAGGGGACTTCACTCTAAACTAAACGCCGTCCACTACCATCTCGAGACGGAGAGGCCAGCTCTGCTCTTCCTGACCGAGACGCAGGTGTCCTCTCCGGCTGATGTTTCGTATCTCTCCTACCCGGGGTACAAACTGGAACACTCCTTTGTGCCTCGAGCAGGAGTTTGCGTTTACGTCAGAGAGGACATCTGTTCTCGACGACTCGGCAGACTTGAAGGTTGGGACCTGTCCATCCTGTGGCTACGCGTAGACAGCGACGACCATCCGCGCGTCTACGGGTGCTTCTATAGGTCCCATAGCGTTAATGCCGAAACAGACCGACTCTTCGACCACGTCCAAATGGCTACAGATTCGTTGCTACAGCAGATCCCCTCCGTAGAGATCGTGATCCTCGGCGACTTTAACGCCCATCACGCCGAATCGCTTGGCTCACGTTTAACCGATCATGCGGGGAGATCTGTTCATGATTTTGCCTTGGCATATGGTCTGACACAACTGGTTACTTCGCCTACACGGATTCCAGATGTGGAGGATCATGCACCTTCCCTGTTGGACCTTCTGCTGACCTCTCACCCGGACGGATATCAGATTTCCGTCGAAGCCCCTTTAGGCTCCTCGGACCATTGTCTTGTCCGGAGTGTGGTGCCACTCACGCTGAAATCGCAGATGCATTCTGCAGGCTGCCGCCGTGTTTGGCACTATAGGTCAGCCGATTGGGATGGGATGCGGTCTTTCTTTGCATCCTACCCTTGGGGGCGGGTTTGCTTCTCGCCGGACGATCCCAACGTTGTTGCGGATTCTGTCGCTGATGTGGTACTTCAGGGTATGGAACGTTTTATTCCTTCCTCTGTGGTGCGCATTGGAGGCAAATCTCAGCCATGGTTTGGTCGCTCCTGTAAAATAGCATCATGCTATAAGCAGGAGTGCTACCGAGCCTGGGCTGACGCATCAGCGTCTCGGGATGTAAACACCAGCGCAATAAAAAAGAAGTATAATTCCGCCTCTAGGTCCTTCAAAAGAGTCATTGCCAAGGCAAAGTCAGAGCACATAGGCAGAATTGGCGAGAAACTAGTTCGCCTTCCTTCTGGAACCCGTGCATTCTGGTCTCTAGCAAAGGCTGTCCAGGAGAATTTCTGTCAGCCATCTCTTCCATCTCTGCACAGGGAGGACGACTCACTGGCCCATACCGCAAAGGAGAAAGCCGATCTTCTAGGCTCTTTCTTTGCGTCCAACTCCACTCACGATAACGGGGGGAGTACACTGCAGACCATCCCGTGGTGTGAGTGCTCCATGCCGGAAGTGCAGTTCACACAGCGCTCGGTTCGCAAAGCACTCCACTCCCTGGACATCCACAAGTCAATTGTGCTGAGGACGTGTGCTCCAGAGTTGGCAACGGTTTTAACGCGTCTTTTCCGGTACTTCTACTTCCTAGGCGTAGTCCCAAAATCATGGAAGACGGCTTTCGTCCACCCGATTCCTAAAAAAGACGACCGCTCAGACCCGTCCAACTAACGGCCTATCGCCATTACCTCCTTGTTCTCCAAAACAATGGAGTCTATTGTAAACTGCCTGTTCATGAGGTACCTTGAGGAACACCAGCTCGTAAATGATCGCCAATACGATTTTCGCCGTGGTCGGTCAGGTCAGGTCTGGTGATCTTCTGGATCTGATCTGATCTGATCTGATCTACCTAAATCATAGATGGGCGGAGGCAGTAGAGTCCAAGGGGGAGGCATTGGCCGTTAGTGTGGACATTGCAAAGGCCTTCGATCGGGTTTGGCACAAAGCGCTTCTTTCGAAGCTCCCTTCCTATAAGCTTCCCGAGAAATTGTGCGATTGGATCACCAGCTTTCTTGCAGATCGGAGCATCAAGGTCGTTGTAGACGGTGCAAGCTCCGATTGCAAGCCTATTAATGCTGGTGTTCCACAAGGCTGCGTGCTATTGCCAACGCTGTTTCTTCTGCATATCAATGATATGTTGCAAACCCGTAACATTCATTGCTATGCAGATGACAGCACTGGTGATGCTCTTTACACCAGCCGAACCAATATTTCTCGGGAAAACGTCTCTGAGTGCCGGGACAAACTTGTATCTGAAGTCGAGTCTTTGCTGAACAGAGTCTCGGATTGGGGGCGACTAAATCTAGTCCAGTTTAACCCCCGAAGACACAATTTTGCGCGTTAACCGCTAAAAAGAACCCCTTTGTCGTATCTCCTCAGTTTCAAGGCACTCCCCTTGTTGCCTCAGCCAGTATCGGAATCCTCGGCGCTGACATATCGAGTGACGTGCAGTTTCGTGGTCACTTGCAAGAGAAGGCCAAATTGTCCTCTAAAAAGCTTGGCGTGCTCAGCAGAGCGGGACAGTGTTTCATGCCGGCACACCGCCTGTGACTTTACAAGGCGCAGGTTCGGCCGCACATGGAATACTGTTCCCATCTATGGGCAGGGGCTCCCCAGTACCAGCTCCTTCCACTTGACCGCATCAAGCGCAGAGCGGCTCGAATCGTCGACGACCGAATGCTTTCCGATCGGCTCGATTCACTGGCACTGCGAAGGGATGTTGCATCTCTTTGCATTTTATTTCGCATATACCATGGAGAGTGCTCTAAGAAATAGTTCGGATTAATCCCAGCCGCCAAATTTCGTGAACGCACTACGCGGCAAACGTCCCGATACCATCCACACCATCTGGATGCTTGGCGGTCCACCACAGTACGTTTCAAAAGGAGTTTTCTTCCGCGTACAACCTCTCTTTGGAATAGTTTACCACCGGCAATTTTTCCGGACTGATACGACCTGGGGACCTTCAAGAAAAGAGCTTACTCCTTTCTAAAGGGCAGGCAACGCACCTGCAATTCCCCTGGTGTTGCGGTTGATCATGGGCGGCGGTAATCACTTAACATCAGGTGAGCCGCACGCTCGTTTGCCCCCTCTTCTATCAAAAAATTATTATTATTATTATTTTTGGGGTATCTATATAATTTTCAAATCTGGTTGGTTTCTATAAATATATAATTTTAAGTTAAAATGAGAAGTAATATACATAAATATCAATAATATAAAAAAATACAAAAAATACATAAATAAATAAGATCCAACCAGATGGAAGCCGTCGGCAGGGGAGACCAAACGGCCGAATGTTAGGAGGAAAGGGAAAGAAACCGGCGGACGAAGCGGGCGGTATCGAGGAGCAACGCGTTCTGCATTTGAGCTCGGAGCGGTCCGTCACGGAGTCCCAGTCGCCTCAGATGACCCGAGAGGCTGACTGGGATTAGCCCGTTTACAGAAACGACTACAGGAATAATTTCGGTCGGCAGACCACCCCACATGTCGGTTACCTCGTGAGCCAGGTCCAGATATTTTGTTTGTTTATCTGTTTCGGCTATTACGAGGTTCTCGTCATACGGAATGGTAATGTCGATCAAAAATATCCTTGACTGTGCCCGGTCCATCAGACTTATTCGCAAGAATAGTACTGTCTGTGATGATGGCCCGGTCCCAGTCGAGCCTGGCGCGGTCATTTTCGAGCACGGCTTCCGGCAAGTACATGTAATACGGCAATTTCCGGTCCACGAGACCGTATTTCAGAGCGAGCTCCTGGTGTATAACTTTGGCTACTAGGTTGTGCCTGTGCAAGTACTCAGAGTTAGAAAGCGCCGAACAACCGGAGATGACATGCCTAAGTGACTCACCGGGATGGCGACAAGCTCGACAGACGTCGACGCCATCCTTTTGGATGTATCTCCGATAGTTGTTGGTCTTAATAACCTGATCCTGTATTGCACAGACAAAACCCTCGGTTTCCCCGAAAAGGTCACCGAAACGTAGCCAGTTGAGGGAGGCGACTGTGTCTACGAAGGGCTCATGTAGAGCCTGTAGTACCTCCCGTGGAGCTCCTTCTCCTTCCATACGGTCTCCCGGTCGGAAATTCTTTGTACTGCCGGGTCCTGCCATTGCTCGTTGGCTAAGGATAGAGGGGTAAGCCCTTTATCACTAGAAATGACGTCATTATAGAATGGATCATCCGATCTCGCCAGGAAGTAATCACGTAGGCTGCACACTTCACGATTATGCATGGTGAGCGCACTCAGGAAGTCGCGCCCACTATGGTTTCGCAGCACGTACAGCCTCATTACCGACGATCTCGGATGATGCATCCTATGGGACGTCATGGTAGTGCGGACTTTTCTATCCAGGGCGTTAAGTTCAGTCTGAGTCCACCTGAGTATGCCAAAGGTATACACGAGGACAGGCATGACCCAGCCATTATATGCGTGTGCCTTATTCACACCGGGCAAAAGGCTGTTAAGCAATTTGGTCAAGCATGCATAAAACATGTCGCAAACTAACTGTTTCATACCAGCCTCATCGATACCGATGTTCTGTGACATACCCAGGTATCGGTATGTTTCAGCCTCGGAAAGGGTTCTTAAGTTGACGGGCATAGATAATTCTATGCCTACAGAGTTAGCAACCCTTCCTCTTTTAACATGGAGGACCGTTGTTTAGCAATTCCATAAGATGGGAGCGACTGGAGGCGAATAATTTGAGGTAATCCATATAGAAAAGGTGGGTCACTTTTGTACCTCCATTCCGTAGCTGAAATCCTCTCCCGGAGCCCTCCAGTAAGGTACTGAGAGGGTTCAGAGAGAGGCAGAACCAGATTGGACTCAGACAATCGCCTTGGAAGATACCCCTTCTTATCCTTATGTGGTTCTCCGCAGCCATCATCCGCTCGCCCAGATAACAGAGGATCGTACTCCACTGCCCCATACACTGCTCGAGGAAGTCTCTAACTGTACAGTCAATCTTGTACAGCTCGAGGACCCTCTTTAGCCATGTATGGGGCACCGAGTCGAATGCCTTTCTGTAGTCTATCCAGGCGGCGGAGAAATTCCGACAGTTGCGTTTCACCACTTTGTCAATGACCGCGTCAATGACGAGTGGTTCCTTGGTTCCACGACCACCGCCCCGACATCCATTTTGAGCGCGTGACATCACCTGATTTAGCTCCAGGTGACGAGTGATTCTCGCGCTCAAAATGGATGTCAGTGTCTTATATATGGTGAGTAGATACGTGATGGGGTGGTATTTGCTCGGGTCTTTGGTATCCTGATCTTTAGGAACCAAATGAGTGATCCCAGTAGTGAAGAGGCTCGGAAGCGAATTCTGATCAAGAGCCTCTTATAAACTATCGGGCGAGCACGGCGTGACACACTACGAACCCCTTCAGCCAGTAATGATGCAGCTCGTCGAGCCCCGGACTTTTCCAGTTCGGGGCCCTACGGACCGCCTCAGCCACGTCTTCAGGCGTTATGATGACGGGGTCCATAGGCGTAACACTTGCACTCTGGCTCGCCACAACTTTCATCCAAGGGCCCTCGCTGTGGTTTACGGGCTCTGACCACAGGCCACGCCAAAATGCGACAGTGTCAGCCTGATCCGGTCCTGGGCCCGCTCCACATAACTCTGGTCGCTCCAATGGTTTATAGAGCCTTCTCTGATCACTCTGGAAGAAACAATTCTGGTTGATCTGCCTTGACTTCTCGCTAAATCGTCGAATCCGCTTCCCCCAAGCAGCGATTTTTTGCTTCAGGTCATCTATGCGCTCCGTTAGTTTTTGTGTGATATCCAGCTGGGACAAATTAAAATTTGTCCCAGAAAACGCCTTTCTAACGGTGCGCACAACTTTTCGTCTATTATTACCCGACCTGAAGTTTGTCAGTCCGCCGATAAGGGACCTTGCCTTTGCGATACGGTCCTCGATCCTTTTTCTCCAGGCTGGGATGGCGCTACTTTTTTGAGTAGCACGTCCAGCCACGGGAAGTTTGGCGCCAATAATACGGCATACTGCCAGTGCGGCGCCAAAAAGAATTGAGTCCGTCTCGCAAAGGTCCCGGTTGGCTTCCAAATAGGTCATCAGCATTGGGTTAAGAGCCCGCACGATAGCCCGATTTCGCTTGCTAATGGGTATGCGGGGAATGCGCGGTCGATTTTCGAGAAGCATGCTGCGCGTTTCCAGCATCAACTCTTCCAATATGCTCCTCATTTTCTCTAGTTCGCGAGGGACTATTCCATCATCGTCTAAATCAACCACAAATGGAATATTGACGGCAGCGTCCAAATTTGCAGTTTGCTGCGCAATTAGTGGCGCCGCATTCCCAGCCGTAGCATTTCCATCCGATGAGGGAACAGCCTCACGTCGTAGTCGTTCGAGTTCGGCGTCACCAAATATGTTGGAGTGCAGGATGTACCGAACTCGGTCTGCCAGGTTTTGCTCAGTGTCGGATAGAGATGGCTCCAGCTCTGCAAAAAAAGCGATGCATCCGAGCCCGATATGCCAAACATGAGGGTTCTTCCCCTTTTGCCCTAAAGTACACCCGCAGTGCGTTTGCGTTCATTGTTTGTGATCAACGTATGCGACGTGCTCCACCAGCTGCGGGTGCCGCTTGCTGAGTCCGAGAAGATCAAGCCTTCTGGTGGGAATGATGGATGCGCAGGGCTGCTAGGTGATCGTACAGCTCCACGCACTCGGCTGGCGGCCCGCATTCTGCTGCGTCCAGCGCCAGCTCCAGACGCGCCCCAGCGACCCCCAGACAGCGGCCCTATGCGCGTTCCTCTTTGTACCATCATCCATTTATGGGTGCCAAATAACGGGAGACGCCCAAGTCCGGCACTGTTTCGTGGTTCGGTCATATGCATAAACGGACCTTTGCACCCACAATTTTGCCTAGGCACGGCGCTCACACCTCTTGGCAGGGTGCTGTCTGACTGCGCCGACGTAGTAGTTTTGTCACATAACTGTTACGTCAGCGGGCGATGGGGTCGTCACTTCCCTACGTCTTATTATTATTATTATATTTTTATTATTATTATTATTGGGGTATCTATATAATTTTCTCACCTTGTTGGGTTATATAAATATATAATTATAAATTAAAATGAAACGACAAATATACATAAATATCAATAAAATAAAATAAATACAAAAATACATAAATAAATAAAGGCCCAACCGGATGGTAGCCCTCGGCAGGGGAGACCAGACGGCCGAGGCTTAGTGGGAAAGGGAAAGAAAACGGCGGACGATGCGGACGGTATCGAGGAGCACCGCCTTCTGCATTTGAGCCCGGAGCGGTCCGTCATGGAGTCCCAGTCGCCTCAGATGAACCGAGAGGCTGACTGGGATTAGCCCATTAGCAGAGAAGACTACAGGAATAATTTCGGCCGTCAGACCACCCCACATATCGGTCACCTCGTGAGCCAGGTATTTTGTTCGTTTATCTGTTTCGGCTTTCACGAGGTTCTCGTCATACGGAATGGTAATGTCGATCAAAAATATCCTTGACTGTGCCCGGTCCATCAGCATAATATCAGGCTTATTCGCAAGAATAGTCCTGTCTGTGATGATGGCCCGGTCTCAGTAGAGCCTAGCGCGGTCATTTTCGAGCACGGCTTCCGGTAAGTACTTGTAATACGGCAATTTCCGATCCACGAGACCGTATTTCAGAGCGAGCGCCTGTTGTAGAATTCTGGCTACTAGGTTGTGCCTGTGCAAGTTCTCAGAGTTAGAAAGCGCCGAACAACCGGAGATGACATGCCTAAGTGACTCACCGGGATGGCGACAAGCTCGACAGACCTCGATTGTGCCATCCTTTAGGATGTATCTACAATAGTTTTTGGTCTTAATAACCTGATCCTGTATTGCACAGACAAAACCCTCGGTTTCCCCAAAAAGGTCACCGCAACGTAGCCAGTTGAGTGAGGCGACTGTACGAAGGGCTCATGTAGAACCCTGTAGTACCTGCCGTGGAGCTCCTTCTCCTTCCATACGGTCTCCCGGTCGGAAATGCTTTGTACTGCCGGGTCTTGCCATTGCTCGTTGGCTAAGGATAGAGGGGTAAGTCCTTTATCACTAGAAATGTCGTCATTATAGAATGGATCATCCGATCTCACCAGGAAGTAATTACGGAGGCTGCACACTTCGCGATTATGCATGGTGAGCGCGCTCAGGAAGTAACGCCCACCATGCTTTCGCGGAAAGTACAGCCTCATTACTGACGATCTCGGATGATGCATCCTATGGGACGTCATGGTAGTGCGGACTTTTCTATCCAGGGTGTTAAGTTCGGTCTGAGTCCACCTGAGTATGCCAAAGGTATACATGAGGACAGGCATGACACAGCCGTTATATGCGTGAGCCTTATTCACACTGGACAAAAGGCTGTTAAGCACTTTGGTCAAGCGTGCATAAAACGTGTCGCAAACTGACTGTTTCATACCGGCCTCATCGATACCGATGTTCTGTGACATACCCAGGTATCGGTATGTTTCAGCCTCGGAAAAGGTCCTTAGTTGACGGGCATAGATAAGTCTATGGCCTCAGAGTTAGCAACCCTACCCCTCTCAACATGGAGGCCCGCACACTTATCCGTCCCCAGCTCCATTCCAATAGAATTGCAAAATTCACAAGTGATGTTTAGCAATTCCATAAGATGGGAGCGACTGGAGGCGAATAATTTGAGGTCATCCATATAGAAAAGGTGGGTCACTTTTGTACCTCCTTTCCGAAGCTTTATTATTATTAAGTGGGGGTATCAATATAGTTTTCTCATCTGGTTGGGTTCTATAAATATATAAATATAAATGGAAATGAAAAGATAAATATACATAAATAACAATAACATAAAATAAATATAAAAATACATATATAAATAAAAGCCCTACCAGATGGAGGCCCTCGGCTGGGGAGACCAAACGGCCGAGGGATAGGGGGTAAGGGAAAGAAACCGGCGGACGATGCGGGCGGTATCGAGGAGCACCGCGTTCTGCATTTGAGCCTGGAGCGGTCCGCCACGTAGAGCCACGTAGTTCGCAAGAATAGTCCTGTCTGTGATGATGCCCCGGTCCCAATAGAGCCTGGCGCGATCATTTTCGAGCACGGCTTTCGGCAAGTACTTGTAATACGGTAATTTCCAATACACGAAACCGTATTTCAGAGCGAGCTCCTGGTGTATAATTCTGGCTACTAGGTTGTGCCTGTGCAAGTACTCAGAGTTAGAAAGCGCCGAACAACCGGAGATGAAATGCCTAAGTGACTCACCGGGATGGCGACAAGCTCGACAGACGTCGACGGCGCCATCCTTTTGGATGTATTTCCGATAGTTGTTGGTCTTAATAACCTGATCCTGTATTGCACAGACAAAACCCTCGGTTTCCCCGAAGAGGTCACCGAAACGTAGCCAGTTGAGGGAGGCGACTGTATCTACGAAGGGCTCGTGAAGAGCCCTGTAGTACCTCCCGTGGAGCTCCTTCTCCTTCCATACGGTCTCCCGGTCGGAAATTCTAAGCACTGCCGGGTCCTGCCATTGCTCGAGGGCTAAGGATAGAGGGGTAAGCCCTTTATCACTAGAAATGACGCCATTATAGAATGGATCATCCGATCTCGCCAGGAAGTAATGACGGAGGCTGCACACTTCGCGATTATGCATGGTGAGCGCGCTCCGAAAACCACGCACACCATACTTTCGCGGCAAGTACAGCCTCATTACTGACGATCTCGGATGATGCATCCTATGGGACGTCATGGTAGTGCGGACTTTTCTATCCAAAGCGTTAAGTTCGGTCTGAGTCCACCTGAGTATGCCAAAGGTATATATGAGGACAGGCATGACCCAACCGTTATATGCGTGTGTCTTATTCACACCGGATAAAAGGCTGTTAAGCACTTTAGTCAAGCGTGCATAAAACACGTCGCAAACTGACTGTTTCATACCAGCCTCATCGATACCGATGTTCTGTGTCATACCCAGGTATCGGTATGTTTCAGCCTCGGAAAGGGTTCTTAAGTAGACGGGCATAGATAAATCTATGCCTACAGAGTTAGCAACCCTTCCTCTTTTAACATGGAGGACCGCACACTTATCCGTCCCCAGCTCCGTTCCAAAAGACTAAATTCACAAGTGATGTTTAGCAATTCCATAAGATGGGAGCGACTGGAGGCGAATAATTTGAGGTAATCCATATAGAAAAGGTGGGTCACTTTTGTACCTCCATTCCGTAGCTGAAATCCTCTCCCGGAGCCCTCCAGTAAGGTACTGAGAGGGTTCAGAGAGAGGCAGAACCAGATTGGACTCAGACAATCGCTCTGGAAGATACCCCTTCTTATCCTTATGTGGTTCTCCGCAGCCATCATCCGCTCGCCCAGATAACAGAGGATCGTACTCCACTGCCCCATACACTGCTCGAGGAAGTCTCTAACTGTACAGTCAATCTTGTACAGCTCGAGGACCCTCTTTAGCCATGTATGGGGCACCGAGTCGAATGCTTTTCTGTAGTCTATCCAGGCAGCGGAGAAGTTCCGACGGTTGCGTGTCACCACTTTGCCAATAACCGCGTCAATGAGGAGTGGTTCCTTGGTTCCACGACCACCGCCCCGACATCCATTTTGAGCGCGTGACATCACCTGATTTAGCTCTAGGTGACGAGTGATTCTCGCGCTCAAAATGGATGTCAGTGTCTTATATATAGTGGGTAGACACGTGATGGGGCGGTATTTGCTCGGGTCTGTGGTATCCTGATCTTTAGGAACCAAGGGAGTGATCCCAGTAGTGAAGAGGCTCGGGAGCGACTTCTGATCGAGAGCCTCTTGATACTAGTATCACAGCGTGACACACTACGAACCCCTTCAGCCAGTAATGATGCAGCCCATCGAGCCCCGGACTTTTCCAGTTCGGGGCCCTACGGACCACCTCAGCCACGTCTTCAGGCGTTATGGCGACGGGGTCCATAGGCGTAACACTTGCACTCTGGCTCGCCACAACTTCCATCCAAGGGCCCTCGCTGTGATTTACGGGCTCTGACCACAGGCCACGCCAAAATGCGACAGTGTCAGCCTGATCCAGTCCTGGGCCCGCTCCACATACCTCTGGTCGCTCCAATGATTTATAGAGGCTCTTATGATCACTCTGGAAGAGACGATTCTGGTTGAACCGCCTTGACCTCTCGCTAAATCGTCGAATCCGCTTCCCCCAATCAGCGATTTTTTGCTTCAGGTCATCTATGCGCTCCGTTAGTTTCTGCGTGATATCAGGCTGGGACAAACTAATATTTGTCCCAGCAAACGCCATTCTAACGGTGCGCACAACTCTCGGTCTATTATTACCCGACCTGAAGCTTGTCAGTTTACCGATAAGGACCCTTGCCTTTGCGATACGGTCCTCGATTCTTTTTCTCAAGGCTGGGATGGCACTACCTTGTTGAGTAGCACGTCCAGCCATGGGAAGTTTGGCGCCAATAATACGGCATACTGCCAGTGCAGCGCTAAAAAGAATTGAGTCCGTCTCGCAAAGGTCCCGGCTGGCTTCCTAATAGGTCACCAGCATTGGGTTAAGAGCCCGCACGACAGCCCGATTTCGCTTGCTAAGGGGTATGCGGGGAAGTCGCGGTCGATTTTCGAGAAGCATGCTGCGCGTTTCCAGCATCGACCCTTCCAATATGCTCCTCATTTTCTCTAGTTCGTGGGGGACTATTCCATGATGGAACACGTACGTCTGAATCAATCACAAGTGGAATATTGACGGCAGCGTCCACATTTGCAGTTTGCTGCTCAATTAGTGGCGTCGCATTCCCAGCCGTAGCATTTCCATCCGATGAGGGAACAGCCTCACGTCGTAGTCGTTCGAGTTCGGCGTCACCAAATATGTTGAAGCGCAGGATGTACCGAACTCGGTCTGCCAGGTTTTGCTCAGTGACGGATAGAGACGTGCTCCACCAGGGGCGGGTGCCGCTTGCTGAGTCTGAGAAGACCCAACCGACACCAAGCCTTCTGGTGGGGATGATGGATGCGGAGGGCTGCTAGGTGATCGTACAGCTCCTCGCGCTCGGCTGGCGGCCCGCATGCTGCCGCGTCCAGCGCCAGCTCCAGACGCGCCCCGGCAATCCCCAGGCAGCGGCCCTATGCGCGTTCCTCTTTGTACCATCATCCATTTATGGGCGCCAAATAACGGGAGACGCCCAAGCCCGGCACTGTTTCGTGGTTCGGTCATACGCACAAACGGACCTTTGCACCCACAATTTTGCCTAGGCACGGCGCTCACACCTCTTGGCAGGGCGCTGACTGACTGCGCCGACGTAGTAGTTTTGTCACATAACTGTTACGTCAGCGGGCGGGCGTATAATATTATTATTATTATAGGAAAATTGTTTCTAAATTTTAATCTAAGTTAATAGCTGTAATGTCAAGTTGATGCATTTGCTATTAGAAAATATATAAATTAATAGAATTCACAGGTACAACTTAAGTTTTATGCACTATTTTCCATAATTTTAAAATGCGGAATACATAAGAAGGAATAACCTTCTAATCTTCATAAGCTTGTTACTAAATCCTTGTTAAAAGTGAAATAAACGACTTATTAAAATTCTTACTCTGGTCAATGACCGTTATTTAATATCTCCTTTGATCTAAGCCTACCTTACTGTGGCAGTGCTGTCAGGGAGGTATTTATGTACGTAAAGCATAAAAATAATCACTAAGCCCTTGTCTGTAGGTATATACAATATTTCTATTGTCTAAAATTGTGGTAGGTAAAGTAAGAAATTTATTTATTGTTCTTCCTATTATGATTTGGGTCCATATTGTGAGTGTGAATATTTGTTGGGTCGTTTTTAACCGTTTTTTCATGGAAGACTTTGAGAAGAAAGCTTACTTCTTCCATAAATCCAAGATTCTACAAGCGGTACGTAGACGGCACATTCACAGTTCTACCTTTAGATAAAGTAACTGCATTTTTAGACCATCTTAACTCTATAAATTCTAAAATTCAGTTCACAATGGAGTTAGAGGCAAACAATTCCTTAGCTTTTCTAGATGTGTTAGTAATTCGGATTCCTGATAACACCTTGAGCCATACTGTGTACAGAAAAAAAGACCCATACAGATAGATATTTAAACGGTGATTCTCACCACCATCCTTCACAGTTAGCTACTGTGAGTAAATCTTTGTTTCAGAGAGTACGAGGGATCTGTGACAGTAAACACCTGGCTGCCGAGCTCCAACACGTCAAGCAAGTTTTGCATGACAACAAGCTTCGGGTCCCGCGCCTACGTCACAGTAAACTAGTGAAGCCGGCCAAAGTCGAGCGTGTACCTGCTGTACTGCCATCCATGTTAGAGGAGTCACTGACAAGATTGGCTACATCTTGAAGCGCGCTTCCATAAAAACATACTTCAAGCCGTCGAAGAATATTGGTCAGTTTTTACCATCAGTCAAGTGTAACGTGCCTCTGCAAGATGCAGGAGTGTACAAGCTTGATTGTGAATGTGGTCAATCCTACATAGGACAAACTAAAAGATCAATTAAAACTCGCGTGAAAGAACATTTAGTTGATATGAAGAATCGACGCTCCAGGAAGTCTGCAGTCTGTGATCGCCCCCGTCACTACATCAGATTTGATAGACCACAAATCCTCGCTAAAGAACACCGATTCCTTCCAAGGATGATTCGCAAGGCTATTGAAATCAAAAAACATCCTAATTTCAATAGAATGGATGGCTGGAATGATGGCTGACTGGATAGATGGCTGGATGACCATCTGCTTGGGATCCTATAGTAAATATAATTAAATCCCAACCCAAGCATACAACTGCAAGACTTCATTATACCATAAGTTCATACTGTGTAAATCGGAACAAAAGTAAAATTTTAATCTATGGTAACCGCGGTTAACTATGACATCTGGACGTTGAACATCTCAGTCCCCCCCGTGACCTTGGGTGCTGTAAAGCTCTCGAAACGTCGGGTATTTAAAAAGTTAAATAAACGCGATAAATTCCGTAAAAACTAGTATTATTTCAATATTATGTTTATTGTTTGTTTTGTTGTAATTTGTTAATTAGGATAAATTAAGGCAGTAAATAATTATTCAGCCCCCTCGTGCTCTAATCCAAAATCCCAAAACCTTTCAGCTCGAGTTACGAAACACTTTTCAGTGCCTATAAGATTGCAATGCAGTGGACGATATGAACGACGAGCTCGTGGAAACTGTCCGAGCGGTCGGAGCTAAGTCACGGTAATTTTATCTATACAGTATTCCAACTTCATACAAACGGACGAAACGAGAGCTATGCCTACGCGCCTCGATCTCGGCATGCGCTCGGCATGCAGACAGCCGTGATTGTGCCGCAGTCATGATTTTGTGGAATATATAAAAAATGGAGGAAATAAAAAATAGAATAGAAATAAATAAATAATAAATCCAAACTTCATTTAAAACCAAACATACTAATTGTAAAATATCTTTTACTTGGTTATAGAATATAGATACCTCTAATAAAGCATTTCGTACGTCTCAGCCGAGGTGCAAATATTTTTCGGTCGCAAATTCATAAGACCGATTTGTTATTCAAACAAACATGGTTTTTTTAATTAAATCTACCAATCAAAAAACGATACGAATTTTTATTGAACACTTCCTATTCAATTCAAAAAGTACCTATTATATTTGTTTATATAAAAAAGTATATTTACAATCATAAAACTAAATGGAAATACAAAGTAGGCAAATGTAAAAATGGTGGAGGCAGGCAGCCCTATCGCATGTTTACGTACCGCGCGGCTGTAGGTATTTATTTCAAAGATACGGCCGAGTTACAATACTGTATAGATAATATTACCGTAGCTAAGTTCTGCAAGAGCCGCCGCAGAAGAACACAATACTCTCCGATCATGCTCTTAATCTCATGGTTGTTAGACGGGAAATGAAGCTGCAGTCTTTAACATATTTACAGCATATAGGCAACTGAACAGACAGGTCTCCAAATGCACGCGGCGGGACTTACGCAACTTTAATACTGCTCGTATTGAAGAAGCGATCGTGCGTAACCAGGGCCTCAAAGACTTTGCCAGAGATCTGTCTGCCAGAAAGAGCCAATAGTAATTTTATTGGTGAAATAATCCAAAAGCGTAATTATTAGACGGGTTCTTATTGTTATATTTTTGTATCTGACGAACTCCGATGAAGTAAACTGACGAATCATAAGTATGCTATCGTCTAGTAATTTGTCTAACTACGTTTGCTAGCGATTATTACAATTGTTGAAACAATCCAAGCATGACTATTAGACTGGTACTTATTGTTATAGTTTTGTGTCTGACGAATTATAAGTATGTTACAGCCTAGCGATTTGTCAAATTACGACTTTCCTGTACAGACACAGTACATTTTAAATTTAAAAAATGAGCCTGAAGATCAGTCTCAAATTCCGCAAGCCTGTTTATGGAACTGTACTATACAATACAATACAATACTCTTTATTGCACACACAATAATAAAAAGAACAACAAACTTAAATAACTAAAAAAACAAAAAAGTACTATGTGGCGCTTCTGCGAATAGTCAAATAAGATTGCCAACTATAAATCTACCTTCATTAGATGGATAATATCTAAGGTGGCTTAAATATAGGGATACTTTTGAATTATTTATAAACAAAAATGAGTCAGTGTCATCTATAAATAAGTTCCATTACTTACGCTTATTCACAAAGGGTAGTGACGCTGTCATGATATAGCCAATTGCGTTTACTGCGGAGAATTAAATAATAAACGTATTCGTGACAACAATTATTAGAAGGCATTGTTTAATTTTGAGTCTATAAGTAGGGAATCACACAGTCAATTTTAACATTTGTATTTTATGTAAAACAAAATCATCGTGTTTACACATGTAGCCAATTCAACAAAATGACTACTGACAGGAGACTCACCAAAGTCAAGACATTAAAGCTGTATTATAATTGTCTTCGTACGAGGACGTCACTGAAAGTTTTTAGAACTGGCCACTTATAAACGACATAATAAAAAAAATAAGTTAAAATTTTTAGAATGGAACTCTTTGCCAATTATATTGTGTATGTATTTTATTAATTTGTCATTTGTTTACGATTTGGTGTCAAATTGAAAACTGTCTGTATCACGTCAGCATGAATCTGACGCGAAAAAAATTTCGTACAATGATTTTTATGACTTTCAATGTCATTTAAGTCAACAAGAAATTATGATAGACCTCAATCGCCCTTTCACGATTAATTGTTTACAACTGATTCAATGAATTTAAACGTGGTTGT